AATCAAACCGGTCAGTCCTAGAAGAGATCAACCCTGACTGCTATTTAGAAGGCCAAATCCTGAAGATGAAACTCAAATACTTTGGCCACCTAAGAAAAGGAAAGACTCACTGGAGAAGAGCCTAATGCTGGGAAAGTTTGAGGGCAAAAGAAGAAGGGGACGACAGAGAATGAGGTGGATGGATGGAATCACTGAATCAGTAGACGTGAGCTTAAATGGACTCCAGAGGATGGTAGAGGACAGGAAGCCCTGGAAGAACGTTGTCCATAAGGGTCGTGATGGGTCGGACACGACTTCGCAACTAACAACAACATTAGTAGAAAGTCATACTAATGTATTTTTCTCAGGAAAAAGTCACTCCAGTCTAAAGTATTTACTTATTTGTAAGAGTGGAGTAAAACAACAATAGAGAATTCTCACCATCTTTCTAATCCAAAAACATTTCAGACCTTACTTGGGTAGATACATTCATTGAAGACCATTCAGTCTTCAGAAACCAATCATTTGACTCTTTACTGTTTGTGGCACTTCCTCGAACTCATCTAAAACTTCTAAACTAATTCGCTTTTTGCAACACTGGTGACCCTGACCTTGTTAACAGTTTCAGAATACTGAAATGAGCAGTCTACAGCCTTCCAGATTTTTCTAAATAACATTGTTCAAATAATCCCTATTCCTGATTAAAAATCTATATTCTTATGAAATCAAAAATACAACATATTAAGGTTAAGCAGTTTTGGTTGCATTTGAGAAAACATGTTCATGTCTATTTAATCTTTGAATGAATCTTTGAATAAATTAAATATTTGGCATGTATTGAAAATGTTTCTCTATGTTTTGCCCAAATAATGGGTTCTGGTTATAGTCTGTAGAGATTCTCAGTCATCCAGCTCATGGTTGTCCCAAAGGTGCTTTTTCAGGAGGCAACTGGATTTTCTTTTATTTTCTTTTGAAGACTTTTAACTATACAATTTGGGATGAACACCCTTTGAATAGTGTGGGAATAGGAATGGATTGCCAGAGGAAAACAAAGGGAGACTATAGGAACCAGGAGCATTATTCAGGTGACCCTGAGGGCACAGATAAACCTCCAAGTGCTTCAATGATCCTCTAAAAGGATGCAAATGACCAGCTGCCTGCAAGGAATGTAAATCCTTCCATTCCCCACTATCCTGTCAGAGCTGAAAAAGCTTCTTGGATGAGAAGCGAAACATCTTCAAAAGAAAAAAAAATCAAGAAAGTCCAGTTACCTCCTGAAAAAGCACTTTTGGGGCTCTGGTTATAGTTCAGACAAGACTAGATCCAGATTTTAAGGTTCTAATTTAATAAAACAAATCAGAATCCAGAGGGACGTTGCATAGCTTTCACTAGAAATGAAGACATCAATTTAAAAAAAGATGATTTTTGCAGACTGAGCAGCTCATCCAATAAAGATTCAAACAGAAGCTTTGTCAATCATCATTCAAATACGTTTTAAGTATAAATGTATCAAATTGGTAAAGCAAATGACATGTGCAGTGATTATTCTGTTCAACTTATTTCACTTAAGGATGTTTTCATAATTATCACGCATATTATATTCCTGTAAGAAACACACAGCTTTTACCTGTTGAAAACATGCTTGCACAAGATTTTCAGGGAACAAGTTTCGAATAAGGTCCAAGAAAGCATCAAGACTGGATACTTCGTCATTCTTCTTTCCTTCTCCCAGCTGCTTCTTGAGTTTTGGATTGCCAGGATGAATGGCTAACACCAAGATCACTCCCAGGACAGCAGCAATGATTGTTGTGGACATGTAATATACCATAGCTCTCGTCCCCAATCGACCGCTGGCCTTAGCATCCAGTCCAGACAGCCCTGTAACCAGAATTGAATTGGGAAGAATTTAGACACAAATGGTATCTTCTTGATTATTGCAAACCTGCATAATGACCAGGCATATTTCTTATGATTAGCATTTCGCAAATAAGTATACCCTCTTGCTGTTGCATTTTGGACATTTTCACTGGTCTGTATATTTCACAAGCTAATATAATAGTATAGATTTTCTTTATTTTTCCTATATATGATTTTGATACAGAAAGTCCTACATAACAATTTCTATAAAAATATACCAAGGATAAATATGTACAATAATTCAATTTAGATACCTGTAAATCTCTAAGGTATCTTAAATGATTGATGTATATCGATGAACATCAATATACAGTTACATTAAAATGAAAGTAATTGATCAGTTAAATTAAAATAAAGTAACAGAATAACAGAGTAGGAAGGGACTTTGGAGGTCTTGTAGTCCAATTCCCTGATCAAGCAGGAGACCCTCTACCAGTGATGGCAAACCTATGACACGTGTACCGGAAGTGGCATGCAAAGCCATCTCTCTGGGCATGCCAGCTGTCACCCTTTACTCTTCCTGGTTCTGGCGCACATGGTCTTCGCTGTTCTTCACATGCGTGGGGACAGCTCCCTGGCATGCATGTACCTGCTGGGAAGTTGAGCTTTTGGTTTTTGGCGTGCGCATGCGCACTGGCCAACTGGTCTTTGCGTTTGCATATGCATCAGAAACCAGAAGACCAGGTGACCAGCGCACATACAGAAAACTGGAAGCTCAGTTCAGGGGAACTGCTCTTCCAGTTTCTGGTGCTCTCCTATGTGTGCACGCTTCCATTTCAGCACTCAGTGCCAAAAAGGTTTGCTAACATTCAGACAAATGTTTGTCCTCTCTTCTTTAAAACCTCGAGTGTTGGAGCACCCAAAACTTCTGGAGGCAAGTTGTTCCATTGAATAATTGATTCTCCATGGTTTCTAAAAATCCTATGCATATTCATCCAAAATCAGTCTCACTATATTTAGTAAGGAAATACTTCTAAAGAAATACCTTAGGCCTGTGAATAATATATATATTATTCATATACCTGGAACATTGCTTCATACAAGTTCTTTTTGTACAATGTGATATTTTTCACTCAAGGTGCTTTGTTTGATAGTACCCCTGAAGTAGGCCTATGATATATGCCTACTAGAAGATCACTAGATGTCAACAAGAACACAAAAAAACTGCAAACTCTTTGCTCTTCTCTAGTGGTCATCCAGAAGTTTGTGGCCTAGATATGGTAGTCTTCCTGAGGTATGATATCTTCTGACAATCTCAGATTAATAGAGGCAATTTCACTTTTAATTCTGTGTCATTAGAGTCATCAATAATTAGACTCAAAAGGAATTTCTGTGTTTGAACAGAGAGAAGAACATCAGAGAAGGGAATAGTGAGGAAACAACATCACTCAATGGTATTAAAAATTAATAACTGTAACATTCTAATCCTTATTAATGAATTGCCATTCACTGTCTCAGAATCCTATAAATTACAGATAATTAGAAATAAAGTATAATCTGTTTTTATAAACATAAGTATAAAGTACTGATTAACTTTATTGATTCTCCTACCAAGGATATAATAGTGCTGAATTATGGGGAAAAAATTATTAAACTCTGAAAAGCCATCAGCATGATCCTAAAGGTCTTTACTTTTCACAAGATATGAAATTACAGTTATTTGTAATATATCTCACCTGTGATTAAACTTGAGATAATTAAAGGGAGGATCAACATTTTCAACATCCGCATCAAAATATCTCCTGGGAAGGCTATCAACATGACGACATCAGGATTAATAGGAGCTGCCATGCGAAGGAGTATTCCACATACTGCTCCCATAATGACACCTGGATGTACCAAAACAAATAATAAAGGAAGGTTTAGGAGAAAATAACCTGGATAATTATGAGTCTGCATCCATCATTTTGTGGAATTATCTGGGCAAATTGTAGTTTCCCAACAAGAAAAATAAGGATACCATAACCAGTCAACAGTTCTCCATTTTGCTAAGCCTTACTGATGAGCTCAGAAAAATACTTATATCTTGCACTTTTCTGATTCTGAGAGGGGGATGCCCTGGGGGTCTTGGGAGATGGCTCAGTGGGGGGAGCTTCCGGGGCAGGCCTGCACTTGTGGGTCCCAGAAGAAGGGGTTTAGTTAGTGGTGGAGGCACTTGTGGCTCAGGGGCAGGAGTTGAGGCCTTCCTTGAAGTACCCAAAATGGCCACTGGAGATCTTTGCACCAAAACAAAATGGCACTGAGGCTACAGAGCCTATGGGCTGGGCGCCATGAGGTAGCCGAGGCTGCAGAACGAGGGAGGGCGTCGAAGGGCCTGCGGAGAGGCTACAGAGGCTGAAGAGAGCAGCAGCGGCGATCCGGTGGAGGCAGGAGCACTGAGGAGTGGCAGTGGTGTGCAGCGGCTGCTGGTGGCTTTTTGGCGGCGCTTGGAGGTGGCTGAGGGCTTGGCGGCAAGAGGAAAATCCTGGGAGACCAGCAGAGGTGGCAGCGCTTAGCGGAGCCTCCAATGGCTGGTGCTGGGAGGCGCTGCTTGCAGGACAGCCTCTGAAATTGCCGGTAAGCTCAGGAGGCAGAAGCCTCGAAAAAGTCCTGGTGAGTCTCTTCAAGAAGCCCGGGGGCTAATTGAGAGAACTTGCTCCAAGGAGCTATCCAGATAATTCTTCCCAATTTGGATGTGATTTAGGTGAAATTTAGAAAACAACCAATTANATAACCAGTCAACAGTTCTCCATTTTGCTAAGCCTTACTGATGAGCTCAGAAAAATACTTATATCTTGCACTTTTCTGATTCTGAGAGGGGGATGAGTTGAACACTGCTGCTCAAATGGCTTGGGATGCCTACAGAGATATAATGCCTGGTTTCCACCTATTCTCAGGAAAGGCAGTGCTAACTGATGAAAGCTACTGAATGTGTCTTCTCACTGAAGCCAAGTGCTGCAATTTGATAATGAAGTATATTGCCTACCATATGTACAAGAATGGGGCGTTGGTTCTTACCTGATAGGCCCCTTCTCGAAGCAGGTAGAGACAGCGGTCATGCATGGGTTAGCTCAGTCAGTAACCAATAGAACTGAATCTACCAAAGTGATGTCATTGCCTCTAAAGAGTGTCCTCCCGCTTTTGTGATGAAGGAGATAAGTAGACTGCTGTGCGTTAGTTGACTGCTTTCAATCCTCCGATGCTCTAGTATAGCTCCCAGAATTCCCTCCGCGAACTAGGCCAGTGCCTAAAGAGTGGGGATGACCGCTGTCTCCACCTGCCTCAAGAAAGGGCATATCAAGTAAGAACCAATGCCCCATTCTCCAACATTGTGGAGACAGTGGTCATGCATGGGACGTGCCCGGGTGGGAATGAGACAGGGCTAGGAGCTTGAAGAGGGAAGAACCTGTTGAAGGACCTGGCGTCCGAATGCCACATCCGCCAACACGTATCTATCCACCTTATAATGGCGGATAAAGGAAGTAGGAATCACCCAGATGGCCGCCTTGCAGATCTCTTCCACTGAGGCCTGCCTTGTCCACACTGCTGACGTAGCCACGCTGCATGTAGAATGAGCCGTGATGTTGGATAGAGGCATGAGGTGATGTGCCAGGTAAGCTCTAGTTATGGCTGACCGGATCCAGCGCCCCACCTTAGATGAAGAAACCTTTAGACCCTTGTTTGTGGGATGGAAAGACACAAAGAGCGCTTCAGTGCGCCTGAAGACGGCCGTCTTGGCAATATAGATCTTAAGAGCATGTCTTATGTCTAACCTGTGCCATTTGTGTTCTAGACTGTGAGAAGGATTAGGGCAAAAATTCGGTAGAGTGAGATCTAGAGTGATGAAAAACCGAATTGACTTTTGGAACAAAGGTGGGATCAAGTCGAAAGACTACACGGTCTGAGTGAAAGACACACAAGTTGGAATGGATGGAAAGGGACGCCGATTCTGAGACCCATCATGCAGGCATGATGGCCACCAAAAAGGTTGTTTTTAATGTAAGCTGATGCAGGGAGGCCGACCTTAGAGGCTCAAAGGGTGGTCCAGTGAGAAAGTCAAGGGCCTTGGTTAGATCCCACGAGGGGAAGCGGTGAATGACAGGAGGGCAGAGATTAGACATGCCCTTAATGAAGCGGCATACATGAGGGTGCAAGGAGAGAGGCTCATCCCGGTGAAGTGAGACACCCAAAGAGAGAGCCGACACCTGCCTCCATAAGGTGTTTGGCGCAAGTCCCTTATCTAGTCCCTGTTCCTGTTCTTCAAAAACCGAAGGTTGACTGGACGTGCTAGGGAGCTCATGCAATGAAGAAGCCAAAAGATCACCATCCCTGCATCTGGAACCAGAAGAAGAAGCAGACCTGTGTGGAGTAGAGTGGTTAGAAGACCTATGTTTAAGGGCTGCTGCTATGCCATGTTCAATGGCCTCAGCTATCATATCAGCCATGCCAAGTGAGTAAGAGCGGTGGTGGCGACGAGGGGGGAGAAATTTCCTCCTGGTAGAGGGGCTCCTCATCCGGAGTGATGCTCCTGCCATCCTCAGATTCATCCCCAGTGCAGGCCAGATCGCCTGAGTCCCTGGCATCCTCAGGTTGAATGATGGATGCAGCAGGGGAGAGATCATCCTCCAAATCAGAAGATAGGTCAGGAGGAGGACTAGACTGAGTAGGCCTCTGGGCCTGAAATAGATGGGATTCAGTGTGATTGGTCTTGGCCTTGCTGGGAGGAGCCTGGATGGCACTGTCTTTTGCCTGTGGATTGGCTGTACCCCTATGGGATGCCCTGGGGGTCTTGGGAGATGGCTCAGTGGGGGGAGCTTCCGGGGCAGGCCTGCACTTGTGGGTCCCAGAAGAAGGGGTTTAGTTAGTGNCTGAAGGCAACTTCTGTTCCATTAGTTGATTGCTCTCACTGTTTCTCCTTATTTCCAGGTTGAATCTCTCCTTGATCAGTTTCCATCCATTATTCCTTGCTTGGCCTTTGGGTGCTTTGGAGAATAGCTTGACCCCCTCCTCTCTGTGGCAGCCCCTCAAATATTGGAAGACTCCTATCATGTCTCCGCTGGTCCTTCTCTTCACCAGACTAGCCATGCCCAGTTCCTGCAACTGTTCATCGTATGTTTTGGTCTCCAGGCCCCTCATCATCCCGGTTGCTCTATTCTGCACTTTTTCTAGAGTCCCAACATCTTTTTATGGTGTGGTGACCAAAACCCTGATGTGGTGAAGCTGGAAAGGAAGAGAAAAGGAGGAGGACCAGCGGCAATGTGGCTGGACTCAGTTACAGAGGTGATGAAAGCTCTGTCGGACGATTTGAAGGACCTGGTTGGAGACAGAACATCCTGGAGAGACATTATCATGGTGGCTGCCAGAAGTTAACACTAGCTTATATGTCTATGGAGATTCTCCGTCATCCAGGACATTGGTTGTCGCAAAGGTGCTTTTTTAAAAAGGCAACTGGACTTTCCGGTTTTTCTTGGAAGACGTTTTGCTTCTCATCCAAGAAGCTTCTTCAGCTCTTGACTGGATGGTGGGGAAGGGAAGGATTCATACTCCTTGCAGACAGCTGGTCATTTGCATCCTTTTAGGGAGTCGTTGAGGCCGCTTGGAAGCTTATCTGTGTCCCCAGGGTCACCTGAGTGGTGCAAATGGGTGTGGAGCTTTCTTGGAACTACTGAAAGTGCTGTGTTGTAGACTGGAGATAGATGGTGTCTTATCCCTCCCCCTCTGTTGATGGAGGGCTGTTCAGTTTTGACGCATATGGCCTCTTTGATGCATCTTTCAAACCAGTGGTCCTCTCTGTCCAAAATGTGGACTTTGCTGTCTTCAAAAGACTGGCATTTTTCTTTTAAATGCAGATGGGCTGCTGAATCTTGTCCTGATGAGTTTGTTCTCCTATGTTATGTTAAACGTTTACGAAAGGCGGGTAAGAAGCTAGATTCAGGTTCTCCGAATGGAAGATGATCAAAGAGAGACCCAACCTAGAATTAAGGAGAAATTTCCTGACAGTGAGGACAATTAACCAGTGGAAGGACTTGCCTCCAGAAGCTGAGGGTGTTTCCATCGCTGGAGGTTCTCAAGACGAGATTGGACAACCATTTGTCCAGAATGGTATAGAGATTCCTGCTTGAACAGGGGGTTGGACTAGAAGACCTCCAAGGTCCCTTCCAACTCTGTCATTTTAAGTTCTAAGAACTTTTCTGCTTGACGAGCAATAGCTTTTTACAGGAAGGGATTATTATTATTATTATTGGTTAATCTCTGGTGAGATTCACAGCCTTTGGGGCTGGTTGGTAGTTCAACAGCTCGAGTCCTAACCAAGGACCTAGGAACTGTTAAGGTAATGTTGGAGGATATAAGCTCTTCCAAGTAGGGCGGTTTTTGATGATGATGATGATGATGATGGTGGTGGTGATGATGATGATGATTTGCAGTCAGCCAGATGTTCAGTCTGGGTTTGGCATTTTTGTCTACCTATCGAGTCTTTATCAAGGACCTGGGATAGGCAACTCTGATGATGATGATGATGATGATGATGATGATGATGATGATTATACTTAATTCATTAAACATGAAATTCAGTCAACTGAACATTCAAAAATGCATCACAAATACCATTGACTGGTGCTAGTGGTTGATACGGTTGCTGCCAGCATCCCAGGTATCAACCAAGTTAATTGATTGATTGATTTGATTTTAATTGATTTTATTATATTTATATGTCGCCCTTTTCCCCCGAAGGGGACTCAGGACGGCTCACAATTCAAATCAGGGGAGGGGGG